GGGGAGGGTTGGGGTCATTTCCTTAATTAATATTTTAAACTCTTTCTTGTAACATAATTGGTTTTATATATCTCTTCTATTGTTCTTGTTTAACTGTGTGAAATAATAAACCACCTTCCAGGATATCTTTTTTTTTTAAATATACTTACAATGTCATTAGGGCAGCGACTTGGTCGTTAAATTATTTGAGTCCCACGGCTGGGCTCAGGCACACCCACAGTCCTCAGAGTGTCAGCCTTGGTCTTCACACTTTAATAAGGTTTTGTGCAGCTGCTTCACTCGATACGATACAATTGCTTGACCTCGTGACCTCCAGTCACTGCTTCCATGAGCACTGACTGGATCCAAGCAAAAGAGAGTCTCTAAAGGTGAAACTGAGGTACAGGGAGACGGACAGACATAACTGACAGGACAAGGGAGAGCAGAAACAGAAATAGCTTTATTAGGGGGAGCACCCGGATGAGGTTCCGTGACCCAGGCCAACAGGTCAGGGGAGTCCTGCTCAGCAGCTGTGGGCGCATGTTTTTAAAGGGGTGGTGAGGAATGTATGGCAATTATGGCAAATAGCATATGGGGTCTGGACACTCTCTGAGAATTGCTTGCTGACTCCTTGTGGCTTTCTTTGAACCCAGAGCATCTGGTTTCACCGGTTATCTTATCTGGTGGTTGTCTTATCTGGTGCCTTCTGCTGCTGACCTTCCGGAGGAGCAGGGAAGCACGTGCAGGTCCCTGACCTGCTTCAGCTTAGTCCAAACAGAATCTTTGACAACTTCTTTTTTTTTTTTCTGTTTGTCATGATGTTATCTATTGATCCAGGTGTAAGAATTTTTGTTTTCTTCACACTGAGTTGCAATCCATATCAAAGGCTTCAATCTTTGAACTTCATCAGCCTTGGTTCAAGTCCTCCTCACTTTCAGCAAGCAAATTTGTGTCACCTATATATGTTCCCTGATGCCATGGTGGAGGTGAGCACCCCAAAACGTTTGTGTGTCTCTTAATGTCTTCCCTTAATGATACGACCATCCCTTAGGACCCATCCAGATGTGGGGCTACAGCCCTGGAGATACAGTGAATTCTATGTTGGGCTGCTAACCACAAAGTCAGAAGTTCAAAACTACCAGCACTCCGTGGGAGAAGGAGGAGGCTCTTTACTCCCATATAGAATCTCAGACATCCAGAGGGGCAGTTCTTTTCAGAGTCAGAATTGAGTTTCATTTTGGAGTTTGAGAATATGTGGCCATGGGTAGAAATTCTGACCTC